CCCCAAATGACCACAACAGAAGCCAAGAGCCCAAAACTCCATCCAAGTCTACCATGTGGGTGGCAGGGACCCAAGTACTAAGTCATCACCCACTGACTCCCAGGGGCAGTAGCTGGAAGCCCTAAAGGAACTGGAGGAGCCCCAAGCTGACATCTAAGATGGGATGCAGGGTCTCGAGCAGAGGCTTAACCTGCTGCACAAAACCTACCCCCCCCCCGCCGCCTTTTATAAAAAAAAAGTTTTATTTATTTGAAAGTCAGAGTTACAGAGAAGGAGGAAGAGAGAGATAGAAAGATATAGAGATATCTATCTTTCATCTGTTGGTTCACTCCCCGAATGGCCTCAATGGAGCCAGGAGCTTCTTCCAGGTCTCCCATGTGGGTAGTAGGGGCCCAAGCACTTGGGCCATCTTCTACTGCCTTCCCAGGCCTTTCGCAGGGAGTTGGATTGGAAATAGAGCAGCTGGGACATGAACCGGTGCCCATACGGGAGACCAGCATCACAGGTGGAAACTTAACCTGCTATGCCACAGCGCTGGCCCCACCACTCCTCCTTTTTAACTAAACAATATACCCTGGAGATCTCACCCATCCCACTCCATTTTCCACCTGTATTACACTCCCTTGTGTATCCACCATCTTCTCTAATCTTTATTTATTTATTTATTTGACAGGTAGAGTTATAGATAGTGAGAGAGAGAGAGACAGAGAGAAAGGTCTTCCTTCCGTTGGTTCACTCCCAAATGGCTGCCATGGTCGGTGCTGCGCTGTCTGAAGCCAGGAGCCAGGTGCTTCTCCTGGTCTCCCATGGGGTACAGGGGCCAACCACTTGGGCCATCCTCCACTGCCCTCCTGGGCCACAGCAGAGAGCTGGACTGGAAGAAGAGCAGCGGGACTAGAACCTGGCGCCCATATGGGATGCCGACGTCACAGGCAGAGAATTAACCAAGTGAGCCACGGCACTGGCCCTCTACTCTTTATTTGAAAGTCACTGTTGAGGGGTATTGCTGGTACATTTTCTAATCTTTGGCCACCCAAACAATGTTGTAACGAGTTGCTTGTGCACACATCTTTTTGGTACTTTGCCAGTGTACCTTTGGTCTAGATTCCTAGAAATAGAATTATCAAGTTAAAAGGCAAATGCATGTGTGATTTGCTAGGTGTTGTCAAATCCCCCTCCACAGCGGCAAAAATGAATTGTATCATCTTGCAAAAGTGAAGACTGAAGCACAGAGCCCCCTACTCCTTCCACCACCCACATCTGGGGATTGGATCAGCCTCCCAGGTGCTCTGCCCAGCACAGGCCTGGACTGGATCCCACCCATGAATAGTGGGCCCCGGCAGTCCTAGAAGGAGTGTGGAATGCCACGTTCTTGCCTTGGGAGGTTGCCCTGCTCATACCAGGCTGAGCTGAAGTTGTGGGTGGCCCTTCTGTGTCACCTTTGATTGATAAGGCACTTAATAAATAATCACTCCTTTACATGTCTGCTTTGGCAGACAAATGTTTCAAGGCCTGGATCCTGACGGGAGTTATAGCAGGTGCTCAGCCCATGGGAGCTGTGTTGAAGTTCATTGGTTTATCTGATCCTGATGGGCTTTCCGTGAAAATGGAAGGAAAGGGGTCACCGAGCAGCCCAAGGATGAAGTCGGCAGTGGTTGTGGCTACTGGGCAGGACCTGGTGACGGGGATTTGCTGTTGGTGTTAGGAGTTCGCACATCCTACACGGGTGCGAAAACTCCTGGTAGTGGGACAGATTCAGCACATTCATTGTCTCCAGAATCTGGGAGGTGCTACCCACATGCCAAGAGGAGACATCCAGGAGAAACATTAATCCTTCCTCTGTGTTGCTGGATACGCAGGCGTCTCCAGGGGCCCTTACGTGGATCAGCTAAGTAGAGATGATGGGAAAGCAGAACTCATCAAATCCAAAAAAACCTTAAAGTCACGCCTGCCTGCCTTGGTGATTTTTCTGGTTTTTGTTGTTGTTGTTGTTGTTGTTTTAAGATTTTATTTATTTATTACAGACAGAGGGAGAGACAGAGGTCTTCCATCCTCTGGTTCACTCCCCAAATGGCTGCAATGGCTGGAACTGGGTAGATCTGAAGCCAGGAGCCAGGAGCTTCTTTTGGGTCTCCCACACAGGTGCAGGGGCCCAAGCAAGCACTTGGGCCATCTACTGCTGCTTTTCCAGGCACATTAGCAGGGAGCTGGATGGGAAGTGGAGCAGTCGGGACTCGAACAGGTGCCCATATGGGATGCTGGCACTGCAGGCAGAAGCTTAGCTTACTATGCTACAGTGCTGGCCCCTCTGTTTTTTGTTTTTTTTCTTCTTTTTATCACCTTGTTCAACTCAAAGGAACACTTAGAAGTCAAACAATTGTATCATTTTATAATGTTTTGCAGTAAAATATAATATTATCTTCTCGACTAACACACAATTTCTTTAAGTTTCTTGTAAATTATAATAATATATTTACAGTATATGGTTTCTATGGAAATAACATTCACCACACAGTATATGGTCCCACGTAAAGGAAAATTTACCCTTGTAAAACCTTAAAAGTTGATACTTGGAAGCTTATGACAAAAGTACTTGTACATGAAGAAAAGAAATCTAGACTTTCTTGTATACATTTTTCTTTTCTCCGGTAATGAATGTTTACCTTTCACTTAAAAAAAAAAAAAGGAGAAAAGTGGTGATGATGCATTTGGTATCTCATTCACACCACTGGGCCGGAATTAAAGAACTTGCACAGCCCAAGGCCGAGTGCAACTCACAGTGACAGACGGGTTGGCCAACACCGCAGTTCTTTAAAAACTGAGTAATTCATTACTCTGAAAATATAGAAGGAAAATCCAGCCCGAACTCAGTTTCTCTTACAGGCCTCTCACCTCACGATCTCAGAAAAGGTGTGGGAAGGCCACATGTAGTGTGGTCTAGGCGTCTTCAAGGTTCACAAGGTACAGGTGCCAACTAGATGTTGGTGATTCTCTGTGCCAGGAAGCAAATGCACCCATCCTGTGCTCCTCCAGCTCCCGCATCTGTCACTGGGTGCCCCAGGATGTCTGCTGGAGATGAGGGCCCGAGGGCTGGCACCAGCCTCCAGGGATAGTTAGGTTTAGCTCTACCACGCAGCAAAACCCACGTCTCCCAGTGGCAGTCTCATCCTCACCACCCATTTAGCACAGCTGCACAATCTTTTTTTTTTTTTTTTTTGACAGGCAGAGTGGACAGTATGAGAGAAAGAGAGACAGAAAGAAAGGTCTTCCTTTTTTCCGTTGGTTCACCCCCCAATGGCTGCTGCAGCCGGCGCACCTCACTGATCCGAAGCCAGGAGCCAGGTGCTTCTCCTGGTCTCCCATGCAGGTGCAGGGCCCAAGGACTTGGGCCATCTTCCACTGCACTCCCGGGCCACAGCAGAGAGCTGGCCTGGAAGAGGAGCAACCGGGACAGAATCTGGCACCCCGACCAGGACTAGAACCCGGTATGCCGGAGCCGCAGGCGGAGGATTAGCCTATTGAGCCGTGGTGCCGGCCTGCACAATCTTTTGAAACATAAATTTGATCCTCTCCTTCCCTTCCTTAAAACTCCAATGAGGGGGCTGGCACTATGGCATAGTGGGTAAAGCCACCGCCTGCAGTACCAGCATCCCACATGGGCGCCGGTTCGAATCCTGGCTGCCCCATTTCTGTTCAAGCTCCCTGCTGATGTGCCTGGGAAAGCAGTGGAAGATGACTCAAGTGCTTGGGCTCCTGCACCCATGTGGGAGACCCTGAAGAACCTCCAGGCTTCAGTCTGGCCCAGTCCTGACCGTTGCAGCCATTTAGGGAGAGAACCAGCAGATGGAATCTCCCTCTCTCCCTCTCTCTCTCTCTCTGGAATCTCTCGCCGCCAGCAATGGATTCTACAGTAGGGTGCTCTCTGATTCAAGGTGGTTCGGACACTACCTACCCAGCAGTAATGCCAGATCCCACAGACCGAGGGCTCAGCTCCCAAGCCGGCCTTCTTCCTCTGCTTCAGATACCTTGGGCGTCCCCTGGGCTTCCACCCTGCCTGCTGTAAACTGGCAGCCCCCTTCTCTGGTTGGATGAAGAACCTCACAGAACTCGGGAAAACACTCAAGTTTACTGATTTCCTACGAAGGATCATACTAAGGAGCCAGTTAACGAGGTGCCCAGGGCCAGGTAGGGGAGAAGGGCACCGGCCCCACCCTCTAGGAAGCCCTGCACGCTCTCAGCTGTCAGGAAGCTCTGGGAATCCCGTCCTGGGATTTAGTAGAGACGGCAGTGCCAGGCACGACTGAAGCGAGGACAGCCGCGTAGAAGCAGCCCTGAAGGGTCTGAGCCAATGCGAAAGGGCTGGGTTGGAGAAGCCAGGAGGCCTGTCTGCCTGGACTCTCCTTGGCCTCCCTGCGCACCTTCCTTCCTCCCAGGCGTGGGTCAGGAACCTTCTAGAACAGGAGAGGTTTAGAGCTCACAGGCAGACAACAGTAGTCGGAGGGTTTCTTCGTGGCCAGCCCCAGGACAGAAAGTCAGGGGAGAACCAGAGCTTTGGTGACCTGCCTTGGAGAGAGAAATTCTGGCAAACAATTATGTACATACTGTCACAGCTGCTAGCACTCAAAGATCAGGAATTTCACAGAAATATCCAGACTTCTGATTTTTCTTTTTTTTTTTCTTTTTTTTGACAGGCAGAGTGGACAGTGAGAGAGAGAGACAGAGAGAAAGGTCTTCCTTTTGCCGTTGGTTCATCCTCCAATGGCCGCCGTGGCCGGCGCACAGCACTGATCCGAAGGCAGGAGCCAGGTGCTTCTCCTGGTCTCCCATGGGGTGCAGGGCCCAAGCACTTGGGCCATCCTCCACTGCACTCCCAGGCCACAGCAGAGAGCTGGCCTGGAAAAGGGGCAACCGGGACAGAATCTGGCGCCTCGACCAGGACTAGAACCCGGTGTGCTGGCGCTGCAAGGCAGAGGCTTAACCTAGTGAGCCGCGGCGCCAGCTCTGATTTTTCTTAATAACTTGGCCAACCTGGCATCATGGCTGCCTTCCAACGTGGCAACGGCTGTGGAGTCGAGTACAGGCTGCCCCCTGGTGGTGGGACTGTGCTGCCCCATGTCCACAACGCCCACTCAGGCCTTTGTTCATCCCTTTGCCTTCCAGGTCCTGAGCGTGTGAGCTCCCCGCCCTAGGCTAGAAGCTCCCGGAAGGCAAGGACTGCCTGTCGCACTGCACTTAGATTTCCTAGCATCTTGCCTAGTGCTAGGCTCACAGTGGGTCCTCAAGAACATTTGTTGGGGGGTGGACATTTGGCCTGGCATTTAAGCCACCATGTGAGATGCCCACATCCCATATTGGAGGGTCTGGTTCAAGTTCTGGCTCTGTTCCTGATTCCAGCTTCCTGCCAATGTGCACCCTAGAAAGCAGGTGATGGCGTGAGTACTTGGGTCCCTGCAACCCATATGGATTGAGTTCCCAGCTGCCAGCCTCAGCTGCCAGCTTCAACAGCTGCTGGCTGTTGCAGGCATTTGGAGGAGTGAACCAGCAGATGGGAGTCTCTCTTTCTCTCTCTCTCTCTCTCTCTCGCTGCCTCTCAAATAAATAAATAATTATCTTTCAAAATGTTTATTGAGTACAGGCAGTCTCCTTGGGATGCACGCATCCCACTTCTTCCAGCATTTAAACGGTGCAAGTGTCACACTGCTTTAGTCTGGCTCTCCAAAGCCAATCAGCTCCGGTCATCTCGCCACATCAGCCCACTTCCATCCCCAGCATCTTCACTCTGCGATTTGACCTCTCCTCCTCTCAAGGGAGGCCGGCGAGGTACCACTCACAAGGCCACTGGGAAGACCACGGACCACCAGTGTCAGGCACTGAATGTGGCCCTTGTTTTTGTCACATAACCTGCAGTGCCCTTATCTCCAAGATAGCCGGTCTCCCCCTCTTTGCTGGATGTGTGACTGGGGTTGTTTTCTCAGCCAAGCCCCAGGAAAGAGATTACGCCAGAAATCTCTCTTTTCTGAGAATTTTCTGGGCCCCCTCCTCAGGAACACTGAGAGGGGTGAGCTCTTATCAGGAAGGTTTGCACTTCTTATCAAGCCCATTCGTGGCCCTCCAGGGGACGACTGTATTTAACAAGCCGCTCTGGATGGCCACTGCATGCTCCGCTCGCCTGAGTGCTCTGAACCCAGGAAGGAAGCATGAAGTGGCTTGGGCTCCTCGGGCTGGTAGCCCTCTCGGAGTGCTTGGTCACGTGAGTAAGGGACAAGCAGCAGCAGTAGCAGCAGCTCTTTCTGGCCCCTTTCTTGCTCTCTTATTCTTTAGCCCGTCCGAGGGTGGAGAAGCAAGTGTAATCTTCCTTACCTCCCATGTGGTTCAAGTCTCCACTTAGTGATGTGTAGCTTGCCGTGTGTGCCGGGGGAGCTGGGGACCCAGTCCTGCTGCAGGACTGCAGGGATGCACAACCCCAGGAGCCGCTGTCACATCATGGGCTATGCGAGTGGTGCTCCCCAGAACTGTTCAGTGGACAACCTGTGCAGCGGTAGCTGCGGTCCCACACACTTCCTCCTCATTGGCTTAGAGATCTCCTTGCTGCTCTCCCTCAGCTGCCAGATGCATGTCTCTGGGTCTGTGTCTCTACCCTTCATCTCCCCATCTCTTTAGATCTCTCTCTGTCGCTTTTTGCTTCGACTCTTTCTTGCTTTTCTGTCCTCCTCATCCCCCACCTCTGCCTCCTTGAGTTTCCGCATTTCTGGCTTCCTCACTCACCCGTCTCTTCTGGTTGAACCCTGGAGTGATCAGGAGGACAACTTGCAAGCCCAGCTTTGCCACCATCAATCACAGACTCCCTGCAGTTCAGGATAATGACCCTCACGCTAACCTGCCCAGGGCTGCTTTGAGACGGCCACACGGGTAGGAATGGCTATCACCGTGGGCACCTACTAGGTGGCAGGTGTATTCTCGCCCTCCCTTACTTAGTACCCCCAAACATCCTATGTGACAAGGCTGCTATCGTCCCACTTTTTGTTAAAGAGAGGAAACGAAAGGTCACACAGCTTGCCCAAGGTGACCTAACAGAAGCTGAATACAAGCCTAGGTTCACAGCCATGGTCCTTCTGTGTTGGGTGCCTCCCCCGATCGCAAGCTCACGCTCAGAAGCACGTTCGGGAAAGGCTCTGCGCAACTGGGATGCAGGCATGGTAGCCCAGGGAAAGGCACTGCGCAACTGGGATGGAGGCATGGCAGCCCATCGCAGCGCCGCGCCGCGCCTTGACCGCTTCCTGTCTGTTTTCCCTCCCACACTTGGTCACAGAATCCCTCTGATGAAGGTGAAGTCCATGCGAGAAAATCTCCGGGAAAACGACATTCTTCTAGACTACCTGGAGAAGCATCCTTACCGCCCGACCTACAAGTTGCTTAGCGGACAGCAGGACCCAGACGTCTCTTTTGAACCCCTGAGGAACTACCTGGATGTGAGTGTGGGGATCCTGCGGCTCCAGAGCGCCCCCTCGTGCCCATGCCAGGCACTGCTGCTCAGCTCGGGTGGGAGCCAGTCTGTTAGGTCTGGGGCTCCTGCAGGCAGACATGGTAGGCGATGGGGCCTCAGTTGTCGCTGGAGGGGGGATTGGGCCCATCAATGGCCAGGCGCCAGGCAGACATCCTTTTCTGTGCCCTTGACACGTGGCCACTTAGTTCAAGGGTCTTTGTTGTAACTAAACGAACCACTGAACCACATCGAAGGGTGAGCCCCGTCTGATGAAATGACAGCAAAGCCACCTGCAAACCGAGCGTGATCCCCCAGGTAGAGGAAGTTCAGCCACTCCTGCCCCAAGAACACCACCAGCAAAAACGACTGAGGGGCTGGGAGGTGGGGCGGTGACTGGTAACCAAAGGCCTCAGAGCTTCTTCCGGAACTTGGAGCATAGCCAGAGAAACAGGCAGAGTCAGTGTGAGCCCAAGGAGAGACCACCTGTGTGGTATTGACATCACATGCACTGAGTTGAGAGGAAAGAGAGGGAGAGCTCTGTGGCTTGGGGTAACCCCGAAGGACTGCCTGGAGGAGGAGGCACTCAAGCTGCTCCTTGAAGGGTTGAAAGGACTTGGAGAGGTGCAGGAGAGACTGGAGAGCTGCTCCAATGAAGGCCTGCCTGGAGCAGGGGCTGGGAGGTGGGGTGATAGGAGAGTGGTTTGGGGAAACCCCAATGAAGGCAAGTACCTGGGAGCCAGGGAGAGGCTGGGGCAGCCAGGCCCACCCTAACCACTGCCTTCCGGGCCTCGCAGCTGGCCTACATCGGCATCATCAGCATCGGAACGCCCCCCCAGGAGTTCAAGGTCGTCCTTGACACGGGCTCTGCTGACTTGTGGGTGCCCTCCATCTACTGCTCCAGCCCCGCCTGCGGTAGGTGCCCCCTGGCCTCCCCTGGCCCCCTCTCCGATCCCCAGTGGGCCTGAGCAACGCTCCCCTCTGCCTGTGCAGGTAAACACAACACCTTCAACCCTCTGCTGTCCTCCACCTTCCTGGTCTCGGGCCGGCCCATTAACATCGTCTATGGCTCCGGGAGGATGTCGGGATTTCTTGCCTACGACACCGTTCAGGTAACCCACAGGCTGAGGCGGGGCCGGCCCCTGGGGAGACCGCCACTTCTGGGATCAGATACAGGGTCAGCTACAAGTGCCTGTCTTCCCCCAGAGTCCCTCCGTGGCTGGCTGCGTGCCCTGTGGGGCTGTGTCCGCAGGCAAGGCTGCCCCAGAGAGTGGGGTCACCCAGGTGCAGGTGCTTGCAACGGGGTGGGGGCGGGGATTGGCAGCCGCTCTCCTCACCGTGAGCAGAGGCCGGCTGTTCGGGGAGCAGGGAGACAGGTGGGGGAAATCGCCCCACCGTGCCAGGCGATCTAATTGTAGTAACTGGTTCACTCACAACAGCCCCACGCGGCAGGCACTATTATGGTCTCCATTAGACAGAAGGGAGAAGAGAGAGAGTGAGTGCCTGGCCCCAGGTCGGGGGCAGCTGGTGTGCCGCAGAGCTGGGATGGGGACCAGGACTTGTTTGGAGTGGGTGCTTCCCGGGCCTCTCGGACCAGCCAGCGTTCCTGGCACGAGGCAGGGAAACGGAGCCACATACGCAGGAAGCCTGACTCATAGTTGGATGCTTGCCCAGTGGGGAGGGGACTCGGAAGCCTTTGAGAATCCAATAAAAGCTACAGATGGCCTCCCCAGGGTGCCTGAGCACCCTCATCCCATATCAGAGTCCTTTGTTCAAGTCCCAGCTTCTCCGCCTGTGCTCCAGCTTCCTGCTGCTGTGCGCCCTGGGCGGAGCAGGTGCTGGTTCCAGTACTGGGCCCCTGCCACCCACGTGGGAGACATGGATGGAATTCCAGGCCCTTGGCTTCAGGGTCAACCCTGGCTGCTGCAGCTCCCTCTCTCCCTCTCTCCCTCTATCTCTATCCTCTATCTCTATCCTCCCTCTCCATTTCCATCTCTCTCTCTCTCTCTATTTTCCTCTCTCTCTCTCTCTCTCTTTTCCTCTCTCTCCCTCTCCCTCTCCCTCTCTCCCTCTTCCTTTCAAACAAAATGGGAAAGAAAATGTTTCCTTGGGGAGTGTCGTCCAAGTAGGTTTTCGCTAAGACTGGCAGCTGCGTGGAAGGATGGGCTCGTCTCTCGGGGGCACACGGGAATGAGCACCTCTGGAACTGACAATGAATTCCCTCCATTTCTGTCACCACCCACAAGGCAGCCACCTTGCTCTCTGCCCACCTGCCCTCCAGTGGGCACCCTCTGGTCCCCACTGGAGTCTCAGTTTCCCCTCCTGTGGAAAGAGGACGAGGCCTGTTTGAGTTCAGAGGACGTGAGGGAGGCGCAGGTGCTGGTTCTGACCCACAGCACCGCCCTGCAGAGCCCACACACCTGTCCTGGCCAGAGACGAGCACCTGGCGAGCAGCCCGCGCCCCAGCAGCCTCAGTTCTCCTTGGTGCTGGTGGTCCGCCGCCCTGCCCTGCCCCCACCTGCAGCCCGGGCCCCACTTCCCAGGCTTCTGCTCAGAGACACCCTCCCTTCCCCATAGATTGCGGGCCTCGTGGACGTAGCCCAGGCCTTTGGCCTGAGCCTGCAGGAGCCTGGCAAGTTCATGGAGTATGCAGTCTTCGATGGCATCCTGGGCCTGAGCTACCCTAGCCTTAGCTTCGAGGGCATCACCCCTGTCTTCGACAACCTGTGGGCGCAGGGCCTCATTTCTCAGAACCTCTTTGCCTTCTACTTGAGCAGGTGAGTCTTGGCTGCCCCTCCCCCAGCTCCGCTGTAAGATGCTTCCAGTTGCATGAAAACCCACAGATTTCTACCCGACCTAGAAATTTCCCGAGAACTGGTCTAGTGTAGCCACCAGCCAGCTGTGGCCTGGAGGCCCGATCCAGCCCATTGCCTGCCAACACACTCTGATGGGAACTCAGCCCTGTCCATTACGTTCACAGTGCCTCTGGCGGTAACAGCAGCCCTGAGCAGTGTGCAACGGGGACTCTGCAGTGCACAGAGCGCAAGGTGTGGACAACCTGACTCTTTCCAGGGAGAGCGGCTGACCCTGCAGGGGAAGCTGAGGCTCAGAGACAGGCTTTGCACGGTTCCCCAGCTGAGGCACAGCCCTCGGGACAACCTCCACGGTGGTGGCCAGCCCCTCCACAAATCTCCAGTCCTCAGGCTTGGTCAAGAAAAGCTGAAGTCCCCTGATGGGTTAAGGGTCTGGCTAAGGTCCCAGGGGAGAAAGGAGAGGCAGAGACAATGGAAGGACCCTGTTCACAGATGCGTCTTCCCCACTAAAGGCGGTGCTTGACTCCATAAGTCCACATAAGAGGTGGGAGAACTGGTGTTGAGACTGCGGGCTCTGGGGAGTCCTGAGCTCAAATCCTGGCTCAAGGCTATGAATTTAAGCTAGCTGTTTAATCTCTCCAAGCCTCATGAACATTTGGACCCAATCAAAGCAGATGATGGACTCAGCAACTACTGAGCACCTACTGTCTGCTGGGCACTGCTCTGTATACATAAACGAGACAGGAGGCAGGGGAAGACGGACAAGACAGTAACTGATTCAGTGAAAGCAATAAATCAGGACGAGGGTGTAGCTTCACGTGGGTGGCCGGGGCGGCATCTCTGAGCTGACTGCTGCAGGATGAGGGGTGTGAGAGACAAAGTTGCAGGCAGAGCGGGGAGTGCAGAGACCGCCAGCGAGGGGCCGGTGTGGCTGCAACGGGGAGGGGCTGGGGACTGGGCTCCCTGGGGTTGCTCTAAGCAGAACTGGAAGCACTGGATGAAGCGGGGGAGACACATGATCTAATTTATGTGTTTTAATTTTTTGTCTTTGATTGACATGCAAGAATTATAGACTTTTAGGGGGCACCACGATGCTTTGCTACGTGTGTATACTGTGTACCGAGCATCCCATTTACATTTCTGGATGCTCACCCTATGGCCGCTGGAGGATGGCTGAACTGAGTGGAGGCAGGGAGACCAGGGCCTGGGCTGTGGCAGCCTCTTTAGGGAACAGAAAGGGCAGCCACCTGGTCCAGGGAAGAGGAAGAAAGTGGAAGGAGTGGCTGTGTTTTGGAGAAGAGGCCCCAGGATTTGCTGATGGATTTGATGTGGAGGGAGAGGTGTCTGCAGGGGCACTTCCACCCTCACCAGGATGTCCCTGTGAGCCCAAGACCCAGTGTACAATCTGCAGGGTCCAGTGCACAGGAGAGTGTGGGGCCCCTTGTGCTAAAAGCACGCAGAGTTTCTAAGCATGGGCGCTGTGGATGCACGGGTCCACACCCTGAGCCTCCTTGGGCTTCAGCTTTCTGGAAATAACAGGTTAGGCAAGGCTGTGTCCCAGTGTCTGCTTGGATTGCTGGAGGGACCTTGGTCCCTGCAGAGGTGGGTGGTCAGAGCTCAGCCTGGAAGCCATGCTGTCCAGGTTCAAGCCCCGGCTTTGCCACTCATGAGCCATGGGACTGATCCTAGGCAGGGGCTCAAGCCTTCCTTGCCTCAACTTCTGCATCCATGAAAGGGCATGCACAGCAGTGCCTGCTCTGGGTGTGCTGTGTGAATGAGTGTGTGTGGACTGAGGGAGCCACAACAAGCAAATCATAGATGGTGCTTGGTTCCCGGGCCCTGAGCTTGGACCCACAGTGTGCAGTTCACCTGCAACGAACCCTCACTCTTCCTCCCTTCGAACCCCCACCCAGCAAGGAAGAGAGAGGCAGCATGCTGATGCTCGGCGGTGTGGACCCCTCCTACTACAGCGGGGACCTTCACTGGGTGCCGGTGTCCAGACCTCTCTACTGGCAGCTGGCCGTGGACAGGTAAGCCCCCGCCTCCAGTTCCTTCCCTGAGGGAGGCATGCACGGACACATGCAGGCACACGCCATCACACAGGTGGACACATGGTCACACCAAGTCACAGACACACACAAACCCGTCACAGTCACATAAGCACACCCATGCACGCCCCAGCCACGGGTTCCTAATCCCTCCAGGCCTCCTGTGTGGGGTCTCGAGGTAGGAAGATGGATCCTGGGCAGGAAGAGAAGGGGAAGGGGAGCTTTGGGGCCTAGGGAACCTGGGCTGTCCTGGAAGAGGCCCCGGGCGCTGTAGGGAGACCTGCACCGTGCCGTGGGGTAGCAGGAAGTGTGGCCCAAGGAGACGAGGCTGCAATGAGAAGTGGATGGAGGAGAAGCCTCCTCGACTGGACACAGCCATGAAGATGCTGGCTGTCCTGTGTGTCTGGGACCGGGCTGGGGGTGGGGGGTGCCTGCATGGAGACTGCAGTGTGAGAATAGGGGAAGTCCTGGGCAAATGGGGCAAGCTCGGGCCCCCCAGGGAGAAGACAGAGTGCAGGGGAGGAGGCCTGCCCATTCTGCAGTTCTGGAGGCAACTCAGGAAAAGGAGGCTGCCTCTGTGGTCCTTCCTGGCCACCTGGTGGGGGCAAGGGGCTGTGACAGAGAACCAGGAGCCCAAGAAGGTGGGGACCATCCCTGATGGGCTGCCACCATCCTGAAAAAGCGAGAGACTGTCTCTGGAGGCTTCAGTGGCCATGGACTTCCCCTCGGGCTGCTGCAGGCATGGCCTGGGCCACAGGCTCCACATCGGAGCTGCAGCTGCTGGGGAGTTGACCCCTGCTGCACTCTGTGCGCCCCAGGAACCGGTCAGACAACAGACACAGGTCTCCACCTCCCTCCCTCCCTCATCAGCAAAGATGCCCAGATCTGCGGAATGGCAGGGACACACCCACTCTTACATAACTCGCTGTCCAGCAGGGCAGATACACACACACCAACACAGCCCGCATGTAGTGAATGAACACCCGGGAACCTTCAGAGCAACCAGGCCAGGAGCCTTGGCTGGTCTGTGGGGAGGACTTCCCTGAAAAAGACAACTGAGCTGAAACCTGGAGGGCAGGGGGCATTAGCTGGTCCAAGGGGGTGGGGGTGATTCTAAGAAAGGAGATCAGCAGGTGCAAAGGTCCTGAGGCAAGAAAGAGCTTGGTGGCGTCAGGAACTCCAAGGACTTCACAGAGGGTCAGCATGGCCAGCGCAGAGGAAACAGAGAGAGGCAGCCTGAGCCGAAGGGCTGTCCTGGAGGCAGCCAGGGGCGGGTGGTGGGGCGGCTGTGGGTGATCCCGGTGTCTGCTCTGTTCCTGGCTTCCAGAATCTCCATGAATGGGGAGGCCATTGGTTGTGACAGTGGCTGCCAGGGCATCGTCGACACGGGGACCTCTTTGCTGATTGGCCCGCGGGACCCTGTCCTCAACATCCAGAAGATCATCAACGCCCAGCTCTCCCATGGCGGCGAGGTAAGAGTCACGCCGAGGGTCACCCCAGGGTGCTCGGCCTGGCCCACCTTCCACCTGGCTTTCTCTCCCAGTACATCATCGACTGTGACACCATCAGCACCCTGCCTGACATCATCTTCACCATCGATGGCGTGGACTATCCCGTGCCAGCCAGTGCCTACATCCGCAAGGTGAGGGGCCTGACCTTGGGCGATGAGCCTGGGATATTGGCACCTGCAGGAATCACTGGGTTGCAGCTGGGAGGAAGAGGCCGCCTGGAGGCCAACCGGTGCCATTGTAGATGCTGCCAAGCCCACTGGGGCACCTCCCATAAAGCTGGTGTGTGCAGACTGTGGCATCCTTCACCCTCCGTAAATATTGAGTGACCTCTTGTGCTGGCGCAGTGCTAGGGATGAGGAGAGGGGGCGCAAAGGGGCCTGCCCCTGGAAGCTTCTGTTTAATCTGTTTAACATGTCTCAGTGACAGGTCAAAGGGAGAGTGACGGGTGGGCTTGGCTAGAACTGTCCCATCACAATTATTACTAGCGCTCCCTCAGAATTGACCTGGTGTGGATGATAAATTATACGGCCACCCAAGGCCGAGGCTACAACTGTGCTCCCTCCCCTGTGAGTTAGAGTTACAGCCCCTCCCTCTGCAGGGTGCTGGGGACACGGACATGAGCAGAGTGCCTGGGGACAACATGGGACCAGACACACGGATGAGGCTAAACATGTCAGGTCCCCATGAGAGTCCAGGGGAGGCTGAAGGGGTTAAAAGAGAGTGTGAGAATGAGATGTTATTCAGCCATTAAAAAGAAAGAAATCCTGTCATTTACAGCAACATGGATGGAACTGGAGGGTATTGCATTACGTGAAATAAGTCTGGCACAGAAAGACAAATTCTGCTTGTTCTCACTCATTTTAAGATTTGTTTATTTATTTATTTGAAAGGCAGATTACAGATAGAGGAGAGGAAGAGAGAGAGGAAGAGAGAGAAAGGAGGAGAGAAGGAGGGAGGGAGGGAGAGAGAGAGAGACAGAGACAGAGACAGACATATCTTCCATCTGCTGGTTCACTCCCCAAATAGCTGCAACAGCTGGGGCTGGGCCAGGCTGAAGCCAGGATCCAGGAGGTTCATCTGGGTCTCTCTTGTCTGTGAGGAGGCCCAAGCACTTGGACCACCTTCTGCTGATTTCTCAGGTACATTAGCAGGGAGCTCGATCAGAAGTAGACAGCTGGGACTTGAACCAGTGCTCATATGGGATGCTGGTGCCACAGGCAGCGTCTTAACCTGCTACGTCACAATACTGGCCCCACACGCGTGTTCTCACTTCTATATGGAAGCTAAAGCAATGACCTCAAAGAAGTAGAGAACACGAGAGTGCCTACCAGAGCCTGGGAAGAGCGTGTGCACAGGGGTGTGGGGAATGGGGGATGATGGTTAACGGGCACAGGACGGAGGAATAACTTCTAATATGCTATGGCACAGTAGGGTGACTATGGTTGACAGCAATGCATTGAAAATATCAAAATAGCTACTAGAGAGGATATTGAATGTTCTGAACACAAAGAAACGGGAAACATCTGAGATGACAGACATGCCCATCACCCTGACCTGATCCTGGCTCACTGTATATATGTATTGAAATATCACACCATACCCCGTACATGTGAACAATTATTTGTATACAGTTTCAACTTTTTTTAAAAGAAGACTGTGAGACAGGGAGAAATTGGACATTTCCTTTTTTTAAATTTTATTTATTTACTTATTTTAAAGGCAGACTGACAGAGAAACCCTTCATCTACTGGTCCACTCCCCAAATGGCCACAATGTCTGGGAGCATCCGGGTCTCCCAGGTGGCTGGCAAGGGCTTAGGCATGTGGGGCATCTTCTGCTGCTTTCTTAGATGCATTAGGAAGGAGCTGGATGGGATGTGGGATGGCCCAAGGGGCAGCTGGGACTGGCCCTCCCGTATGGGAAACTGGTGTCACGTCAGCAACACTCACAATACTGGCACCAAAGCTGAACTTATCTAAGGCCACAGACTCACAGAGGCAGGACTGGGGCTGTCTGTGTTGGGGGCGGTCTACCCCAGGCTCCATGCAAACAGGGTCCCAGGGAGCTGGGAGGAAGAGGCCCCCCTGGAGGCCACACTGTGGGAGAGGGCAGGCGTGTGAGCAGCCAGGGTATCTAGCCCCACGCAGCCCGATGAGACCTTAGACCCAGGATGCACCGGTGCCAGGGACCACCGAGGAACATCACCTGGTCTGGACTGCAGGGCTGAGGAGGTGGGGCACAGGACCAGGCAGGCTCCCCACGGGGGTCCTTGCGGAAGCCCACCTTCAGGAGTGAGCAGGGGAGAGGGGGACAGGGAAGGGTGTTCTCTGCAGAGGGAACAGCCCCACATGGGTCAAAGGTGACAGCACAGGCGTGGGTGGCCGGCGAAGGTGAGGGCTGACCGCCACGTTTCCATGGTCTCCAGAGCTCAGTGCATGGCTGCTACAGCAACTTCGACGAGAGCGCTGCCCACGAGTCTGAGCCGTACGAGGTCTGGGTGCTGGGAGACGTCTTCCTGCGGCTCTACTTCACCGTGTTTGACCGGGCCAACAACAGGATCGGCCTGGCCCCTGCAGTGTGAATGCCGGGCTCCACCAGCAGACAGCGAGGCCCACCCCAAACCCAGATGCCAGCCCGTGGGCGGGGGCTCCTGCCCAGGGGGCTGCCCCCAGCTGTGTCTGGCGCCTCTGCCAAGCCCTGCTCCCCAGGCAAGAATAAAGGATGTCATTTTCAATGGTGCTAATCCTCGTGGCTGCCTCTCTTGGGTCCCGGGACAGTGGAATGAAGCAGGACAGAGATCGCAGTGTAGACCGCACGTGAGCCAACTGGCTTGGACGATGAGGCACACTCACAGGGCGACATGGGGGTGGCTGAAGAACCGGCACAGGTCCCCGACCTCATGATGGGACCCAAGCTCTCAGGAGCTCTCAGCTCACTCTTCCCTTCCCTAATCTCCGGTTCTCTTTGCTTGACAGCTTTTTTTTTTCTCTCAGACTTCTCTACCCACTGTGAGGACTTGGGCATGGCCCGCCCCAGGCTTTTATATCCTGAAAGCATTGGATTAGAGAGGAAAGCCACGCAGAAAATACCAGGGTCTCTGATTGGCCCACCTCAGGTCATGTGTCCAACCCTGGACCCATCATCATGGCTGGAGGCTCAGGTACTCTGATTGGCTCTATTTGGTCAGGTGGACACGCCCACTGTGAGAGAGAAGTCCCTAAAAGAAGTGGGACTTGGTGACAGATTGAGGAGTTTGTGATGTCTCCACCTACACGCACCACTGCCTTATTAGAGGCATGGCAGGGAAATGTCAAGTACATGCTAATCTTCCCATTTTCAAAGGACTTTGTACAGTGGCCTGCTCAAGGTGGACTCTGAGCAAGGCCCTTCAACCTGGGGTGGACCCTCAGTATCTCCCCACCACAAGGCAGGCCAAGGACCTGGCCACCGACTCTGTCGCCTGCACCTGCGATGTTCTGCTTCCCCTGTGCTGGGCCCTTAGGGATGCCTGAGTCATTCCCACCCACAGACACCCAGTGTGGCCCTTTCCTTAGCCTCAGGGACTGTCCTGGGGAGGGACCCTCACATAAAGGAGGACCAGGTAAGACCAAGCCTCGACCTCCCCAAGTATGCTCCCTGGGCTTCCTCCTGGGGTCCAGCTGTGAAACCATTTGGTTTGAGCTGCCAACACTGAAGTCTGGAACTTCCTCCCAACTGCGGATCCCAGGCAGAGGACCAGGATGGGGCAGCAGGGGTCAGGGGACAGAAGGAAGGGGAGGAAGGGGTGGGGGGGACAAGAACAGTGGAAACAACGCCATCTCGGCGTGTACTGCAGCTCTCTGCTCGGGTGTGACCTCAGCAAACGCTGTTCTCCTCCCGTCATAGTTCACATCTACTGCGTGTCTACTGACACCTACTATGTGCCAGGTGCTGTGGTGGAGCCCCGGGCAGAGCACTGTACAGAGAGCCAACTTGCCACATCCTACAAGGAGGGCCTATGGAGGAGCTGCAGGCTTCGTCCTCCGGGGGCAGGGTGGGGCGGGAGTGGGGGAGTCAGGCATGGGCGTCCAGGAGTGACGAGGAGTCTGATCTTGAATGACAGGCAGGAATTTTCCAACTCTAGAAAAGGAAGAGTGTATACAAAGGTGCTACGTCTCAGGAGGATAACTTGTGTGTTTCGTGGGACGCTTGGGCTACACAGGACTCTGACCCTGGTCTGTGGCCACCCTCCAGCCTCCGACAGGGCATCCTCCGGGTGGGAGGCTGTTCTCCTTGTGAGGGTTCCCATTCCTGTGTTCTGCGTCTCTCCACATTAGGACCTCGTCTACATGGATTTTACCAGACTCCATGCCTAGACATGTCTGCCTAGACAATGTGCCTCCTGGGGCTCCCCCCGCCCTTGCCTGAAACACACCCACCACACGCACATGCCCTGCTTTCCCTGTCTGGGCACAGAGCCACTGTGGGTAGAGGGGTGTGTGTACTCCTTTGCAATGGAAGGGAATTGGGATGAGCATGCATAAGGGCAGGCAAAAGACAGCTGGGGACCAACCTCATACAAGACAGAAAAGGGTGGGTAAGGCCTGGGATTGTTTCAAAGCAAACAGTAATTATAAACTGGGCTCAACAGAGACTCAACTCTGTGTGCAAAACTCATTTTCCAAATAGGCCTTCATGAAACCATGGTAATGTCCGTTCAGAAGCCACAGGAAGGGGTGGGCACTTGGCCTAGTGGCTCAGATGCGGTTAGGGTGCCCACATCCCACATCCGAGTGCCTGGGTTCAAGTCTTGACCCCTCTCCCTGTTCCAGCTTCCTGCTAATGTGCACCTTGGGAGGCAGCAGGTACTCAGCAAGTACCTGCCACCATGTGGGACGCCTGGATGGAGACCTTGTGGTCATTCGGGGAGTGACCCAGAAGATGTGAGCTCTCTCCATCTGTCTGCATTTTTCTGCCTCTCAAATAAAATTTTTTTAAAAAGGAAGAAACTACCAGTAAGAAAAGGAATAATCTGGGAACTGGTATTTAGCCTCGTGCCTGGTTTCAATTCCCAGTTCTGGGTCACGATTCCAGCTCTCTCTGTCAGTGCAGACCTCGGGAGAGGCAGTGTGATGGCTCACTTAATTGGGCTCCTGACACTCATAAGGAAGACACAGATTGTGTTCCTGGCTCCCAGCCCAACTGCAGCTGTTGCAGGCATTTGGGAAGTGGAATAGCAATGGGAGCGTCTGCTCTCTCTCTCCTTCTCTCTCTCACACACACAAATAAATAAAAATAAAATGTTTAAAAACATTTTAATAAGGCTGGCGCCGCGGCTCACTAGGCTAATCCTCCACCTGCGGCGCCGCAACCCGGGTTCTAGTCCCGGTCAGGGCACCGGATTCTGTCCTGGTTGCGCCTCTTCCAGGCCAGCTCTCTGCTGTGGCCCGGGAGTGCAGTGGAGGATGGCCCAAGTGCTTGGGCCCTGCACCCCATGGGAGACCAGGAGGAGCACCTGGCTCCTGGCTTCAGATCAGCGCGGTGCGTGTACCAGCCGCAGCAGCCATTGGGGGGTGAACCAACTGCAAAGGAAGACCTTTCTGTTTCTCTCTCTCTCTCACTATCCACTCTGCCTGTCAGAAAAGATAAAAGAGAAAAAAACCACCTCCCCACATTTTAGTAAAGTGTTATTTTTTGAAAGAGTAATTTGACTGATTCACTGAGAGTTTACATGTGTTATCTTATTGTTTCCCCTGATCAGGTCATGCATGCCCGTGGTGCAGACAAGGGAAGGTTCCTCGGCTCCATGTGGCTCCAGTACCTGGCATGGGCCAGACACGTAACAGCCCTCAATAAAGGCAAGTCGGATAAATGAGCAGGTGACAAGCAACAATGCTCCCACGCACGCTGTCACCATGCTACTTCTATCAGATCAACCAGGTGAGGTCAAGGCTTGTGTACCTAAGACCTCAGCTGTCGCCAGTCTATTAATAAGAAGAACTGCTCTTGAGGGTCTATAAGGTAGCCTATGCCACCAACATGCAGCTCGGTTCTGATGTTCAAAGCAAAAACCTGCCGTCTCCAGGTTTATTTTATACCAATTGCAAGCCAATGACCTTTCTAGTCTCTGGTGAGAGAGAATGTGGAGCAAGACTGCTCTTGAACCCTCGTTGTAAGAGTGCAAATTGGCGTGATCTCTTAGGAGATGATTTGTCTTTAAAATATGTATAGCCTTGGTCCTAGCAATTTTGCTTCCAAGATTTACACTAGGGCAGTGGTGAGAGGTGCCCACAAACACGAGTGAGCAAGGCTGCAGTCTTTGGAGCCTCTTCTGAACGGAGAAATCCAGAACATCTCAACACCCATGACAGATCACGTGTCAACCATAAACCATCCTGCAGCCACATGCAGCCATATCTTAGGAGAACATTCTGTGCCAAGAAATGCTTCCAAGGTGATGTTCAGAGAGAAGGACAGGATACAAGACAAGCCGGCCTCAGGTTTGCTAAATGCACAGGAGACGGCGCAGCACAGTGGCCAGGCAGGCAAGTCCCAGGGTCTGTCTGTCTGTCTGTCACGAAGCAGGCACGTGACCTTCGACAGGCTCATTTCCAGGCTTCAGATTCCTCACCTGCAGGTTTCAGGTGAGAGCAGTCTCTTCCAGGCAGTGGGGAGGGCAGAGCAGGAAGAGGGGCTTCTTTCTGGGGTCTGGAAAATGTTCAGAAGTCACATCACTGTGATGGCTGCGATACTCTGTAGCTACACAGACCTCTGGATTATAAATACGTAGACCATTGTGTGTCAATGAAAAGATGTTAATAAGTAATCTGTATCGTTTATATCCTTAAAAAAGACCACCGAGCTGCACACCTTAACTGTAAGGATTTAAGACACATGGAAAACATCCCAATAAAGCTGCAAAATTATATAAACTAAAACAAACAAACAAAAATCACAGGAAAAACTAGTTTTTTTTTTTTTTTGACAGGCAGAGTGGACAGTGAGAGAGAGAGACAGAGAGAAAGGTCTTCCTTTGCCGTTGGTTCACCCTCCAATGGCCGCCACGGCCGGTGCGCTGTGGCCGGTGCACCACGCTGATCCGATGGCAGGAGCCAGGAGCCAGGTGCTTTTCCTGGTCTCCCATGGGGTGCAGGGCCCAAGTACTTGGGCCATCCTCCACTGCACTCCCTGGCCACAGCAGAGAGCTGGCCTGGAAGAGGGGCAACCGGGACAGAATCCGGCGCCCCGACCAGGACTAGAACCCGGTGTGCCGGCGCCGCTAGGTGGAGGATTAGCCTAGTGAGCCGCGGCGCCGGCTGAAAAGCTAGTTCTTACCTTCCAGGGCTATGATGAGGACTGAGTAAATTAATCACACAAAACCTTTGGAACACTGCCTGTCACGCAGTACTTCACTCTTTCAAATTTATACCAAATACCAAAACTTGAGTTAACCACGAAATTACATCCAAAAGCCAACTCCGTGGGCAATTTTCCTTCTTAAATTTTTCTAACTTTTTTCAGTGATTGCTTTTAATATGGGGGGGGGGAGCTAAACACTATTTTATGAAACAGTAAGGAAATCTTCAA